GTACGGTTATAATCAATGGTAACGTTGTGAACGTTGCTCAGAAGCTGGCTCTATTGAAGAAGAGCGAAGTGGAGCGTGATCAGGCCAAGACAACAGTAGCTGAACAGACCGCACTTATCGGTAATCCATTCACTTTGCTTGTAGATTTCATTGGTATTTGTTATTAAATTACTGTTTCAGATCAGCTGCGTGGCAATAAGCATGATCTTGAACGGAAGAATAAGGATTTGGAGAAGGAGGTTGACAAATACAAGAAACGGCTGGATGAAAGCAGCAGCGCGCTAAAGGCAAGTTTCCTAAATCCTCTGCGGTTTAGTAGAGGAAATGTGTATTTTTTTTGCGAAAATTTGGTGATTTTTTTTCATTTTTTGATTTTCCCTTGTTGATGATGATGTATTTAGTCATCGTTGGATTCCAATATATCACTCAAATCTGCCCTTTCGGACTGCAAACGGTATGCTGATCGTATAACGTCCGCTGTTGAAAGAGCGTGCCCACCACCTCCAACAGTTAAACGTGTTGAGGAAGAAGTTAAGGTAGGTAAATTTCTCGTCTTTTTCTTACTTTGTTGGAGTAAGCAGTGCCTTTTTTAGGCTGAACATCCTGCTGATGGAGTCGATGACTCAGATGAACCGATCCCTGCTGAAATTGTTCTTACCGAAGAGGTTGGAGAAGAAACTGAAGAGAAAGCTGCATAAGGCTACCTTTGTGATTATTCATTCTTGTTTTAATAATGGTCTCGTTACTCTGATTTCCCAAGGCTTCTCGTAATTTGAGATGTCCATTGATTTGTTCCCTTTAAAATGTTGCTCCTGTTATAAGAAACGCTTGTAAGATAAAATCGTGGAGCTTCGATGAATTCATTCTATGTAGGCGGTTAGGCTACAGCATAACTTAAGTTTTTTTCCTCTGATTCTCATCGTTGTTCAGTTGTTAAATACAGTTCTTATTGATATGATTTGGAATATAGCTGTTGTTACATGCAAAGTTCATTTATTGGTTTTCAACAAAATTGTATAAATGAAAGTGTCAAATTTATGTTGAGGTCGAAGCAAGCAGGTTTGATGACCGTAATTCTTTAATTTGGCTTGCGCACTACAAGCGTTGTGATAATTCGTAAACATTCTTTACCTTCTTGAGTGTTGATAACAACTTTTGGTGTGATTGTGATATTGAAAGTGATGAAAAAATAAATTCGAATGGGAATTAAAGTAATGAAATGATTTGGGATTGAATGAGCTCAATCTAAAAATATTTGCTTAAACATGGAGGTCTGGATACTTAGAGGAGCATACGAGAAATATAGAAGTTTAGTTTATTGGATATTAGGTTAATGCAAACACAAAACGGTGGATATATGGTGTGCCTCACGAAGACTTCCATTTCGAACCACAGGGCCTATGATGTGTTCTCGAATCCTTCAAAGGATAATGCAGATTCTAGGGGTTTTCCTACAAGCTGATTCCAAAAATTACATCCATTTCTGACTTCGCCTTCTTATGTGGATACTGTACACATACTGTAAGTAGCCAGGGCACAAACTTGGCGTAATGCTAGGGTTTCCCTATAAACTGATTCTAGAAATGATGTTTGATTCATACAGCAACGGCTCTCCCGT